ACTAGCCCAGAGACGGGCGTCAGTATTTCAATATAGTCTAGTCAGTTTTACAAAAAGGACTAGTCAAGAGACGGCAAAATGGTGCGGATTTGCCACAAAAACATTGAAAAAATTATACGTGACAATGACCCTAATGTTGACTAAATGCAAGTTCTGTCTTCAACCAACAATGTTATTAAAATTTTAACTTTACATCTAGTACATCTTTTATTAATATACTAACGATATCTATGTACACAATCTTGATAGGTTTATTCATCAGAACGAATGATAAATTATATGATTTATTTGTTTACCTTATTTGCGTTATTTTTTTCCTGTTCACTTAGTTTATATCAACTTGTTTTATTTTGTTTTATTTAGTCAATATAATGTCAGATAAATTTGTTCCATATCATTTACGTGATATTAACAATCCTCCAGCTCATCTCGATGAAAATCAAAAATCGAATTGGATACGTACTGCACAAAAGGCGAAGAAAAATTGTCAAAATCAACAACAATATCCAGCATTTAATATACCAACATCATTCTATGAAATTATATATATAAATAAAAATACAACGACTGAAACAATGCAAAAATTAATTAATCATGTACGGAATTGTAATGAATTTACATTCGATACTGAAGGTGAAAAATCAAACAAGCAATTAGCATTAATTCAGATTCAAACAATACCTCAACAGTTGCCATTTTTCGTCGTATTACTAGAATTACCACATTTACCATCACATGATACATTAATTTATGTCAAAATTAAACAGTTATTTCAATTGATCTTTCAATCAAAAAATAAATTATATTCGTGGGGACCACTACGACAAGAATTGTATCCGGCTGTGAATTATGAATTGTTGTAGTGGCCTATTAAATCGCAAATATATGATATTCAACTTGAATTTAATAAATGGTATACGTGGGCTCTATCTCATTGTGAGGTATGTAGCCCGTCATTACTTCAACATCATGCTATAAATGATGTTCGTTCAAATACAAATATTAAAACATCTTCAAAATGTACGTGTCATGAAGCTAGTCCTTATCGTCCTGGAGAAACATGGGGACTACAGGAAGCTTTAATTTACACCTGTCAACTATTTATTGATAAATCCATGGCAGTTAATTCTTGGGCCAGAGAATTAGATCCACATCATTCAACATTACCAACAACAACACGAGAAAAAATGCTACGCTATGCAATTTATGATTGTTTTACCACAACATATTTAGCCCGTCCAGTTTTAGAAGATTGGACATTTGAAAAGGTAAAAAATATTAATGTATTAAATCTATTTCAGGCATCATCATTTACATCACCATCATTATCATCATTACATCAAGCAAATAACACCATCATACATACCACTATTAATCCGCAAACTTTTAAAAATGTTATTGATAATGATTTAGAATTTATTTCTGAAGATAGTGATGATGAAATAACAATTAATCAATGTCGTACAAGTCCTGTTAATACTGCATTATATGAACAAATTTCCGATGATGAACAACAACAACATCAACCTTCACTTAAACAACATTCACCACACAATTAGGGATGCACCAATTCCAATTCGAACCAATTCAATTCCAATTCTTGACTTGGAACTGGTCGGCATTGGTTGGACTTGGAATTGGAATTGGTTGGACTTGGAATTGGAATTGGTTGGACTTGGAATTGGAATTGGTCTGGAATTGGAATTGGTCTGGAATTGGAATTGGAATTGGTCTGGAATTGGAATTGGAATTGGTTGGAATTGGTTGGAATTGGTCGGAATTGGAATTGGAA